GGGGATCAAAAATGACAAACTCATGCCATTAGTAGCAGCTTGGGTGGAGCTGCACAGGGTTATGCTAAGCGAAGTAGGTCAAGAGGAGAAAGGAATACGAGATGGGGTTCCTTACAAATGGAATGTAGAAAAAACAAACTGAGGGTCAGCAAAGGAGAAGCTTAAAAACTAAGCCTTGAAAGCTGACCATAGAGCTGAAGAGGGGTAGGGGAGGGAGAATGCAGAGGGCAGGAAACAGAATGGGCTATGCTGCTAGACTGCGGTGACTAAGTGGTGGTGCCAACCCACCAGGGATCCCCACGCTGTGTCAACCTAAAAGATGTATTTACTAAAAGAAAATAGGAATTCCATGTTGCAAAAGTAGATGTTAAAAAGCATTACAGGCCCTCCCTGGTGGCGCAGCAGGATAAAGCACTGCACTGAGAAGCTAAAGCCGCTTCCGCATGAGTTCGATTCCCACCTGCCCCGGAGGTGCGGCAGACCTCTCCTGACCCGCCTGCTGCTCCCCTCAGCAGTGGACTTCATCGATCTGCCTGTTCTGCTCCCACTCTGTCTCTGGTGAAGCCTCTCGCCGCCCCTGAGCCTCTGGCCTGTACCCCAGTTCTGTATGTACAAATAAATCTTTAAAAAAAAAAGCATTACATAGATATAAAATACTGTCTAACATTGGCATGTGTGTAAGCTGATACAGCTTGCACTTTTCACAAGTGAAAAGTTAGTGATCCATGCAAATCCGAATTTCCTCTCAGTGAACATAAACTTATGTGTGCGAAGTAATTTCTGCAAGTTGTCTTGCATTCATTAGTTTTTAATCTCCTTATGGTGAATTAAGTCAAATTATATTCATGCATCATTTGTGTACCGCAGAACTTTTGGGACAAAAACAAAGACCAGGTTTTGATGATGGGAAGGGCAAGGGTTTTAAGCAAAGGGAGAAAAGGAATGGCTAGCAAAACTGCTTTTATTTAACTTCTTTAAGATAATCAAATGAGCAATTAAGTCAAACCACTCTATTAAATTTTCTGCTTATGTTACATCTCATCCCATTAAATGCACCTGAACTTCAGCTCTGTTCTTTCAGAGACGCCTTTGAGCAATGTAAGCTTTATTAGATTCAGTAAAATAAGTCTATACCTCTGGTTACATGATAAATGTCTTCAGCCATTTAAGTCATAGGGAAAGATTAATTCTAGATATAGAATGTACAATTTAGGTTTCCCTCTTAGATTTTAATACTAAAAAAGCACCAAAAATATGAGAACAAAGAAGGAAGAAGGAGAAGGACCAGGGAAGGACGGGAGGGGCCGGGGTTCCACGGGGAAGCCATGCTTGGTACAAACAAGAAGGATATTACAATAACTTTTAAAAAATGTAGAAAGTAAATGGAAATGTTGGGTCTCCAGTAATAAAATTGCAGATATTAATTCCACGGTCACAAGAATTCCCAAATATTTTTAATGAGGGCCACCATGCATGCGACGGGCTTATCATCGACACATCTGCAGGGCAGGTAACATAGCTGATGTGTTTCTCTCATTCCTGAAATTCCTGCCGGCCAGTCGTTTGAAGACGTGCACCCAGAGGGTTAAATGTGAAATACAAGTGGATATACAGCTCGTTATAAACATGGGACACTGTCTCTAATATGGAGAATCAGGATGGTGTCATCCTGTGAACAACACTCAAACTTGGCTAGTTGTCAAGCGACTCATCGCAGGTGACATTGAAACTCTAAAGCCAGTCATTCATTCAACAACAGAATAACTGTCTTCGGAAAAATATAAAGAAAGAAGCCAGTGGCCTGAATGCACACCCTGAGAAGTTCCGCCCTCACTGTCCATGCTTAGCAAACAGGAACTTCGACACACCCTTTTCTCTTTCTTATTTTGGTACGGGAGCTATGCTTTTCTGTATTTGTTTTATTTTTTTAAATATATAATTTTTACAGCATTCTTCATTTTGTACATTATTTTCATCTTGATTGTACCCCTTATTGCAAAAGCTATAGAACTTTTTCTTCTCTTAAACAAATCTATCCTATTTGACTGTTTTTATTTTCCAAAGTGTAGCTGGATCAGCACTTGACTGTGAGACTCATTTTTTCTCTTGAGTGATTTTCTGACTTCCCCTCTGTGCTGGCTGTTTCAATACTGCCTATGAAACAGACTGCCGTCTTGGGAAGAAAAATGAAACAAATTTTGCTGGACTGATCTGGCCTTCTCTGGCCAATTACATGCTTTCATTTGACTTCCTTTCTTGCAAAGTTCTTGCCCAGAGTATTCTCTAGTTACTCTACCTAGCTCCCCCATTGCTAGTTTAACTCAGTATTCTACTTAACCACCATAACACATGCCATAGTTTATATAATGCACATTGTGTGGTACAATGCTTTAAACAACACATGGTCTTAGTGCATTGCATATATTCTACACATAATGTATACATATGTGTCACTTAAAACATCTATTAAATATTACGCAAAAAGTTTTTCTGGTTGTAAAAGCAGTATTCTTAGTCCATAAAATCTTGGAAAACAGAAAGATCTATAAATATACAATAGCCCACTGTCTTAGAAGTCAGAAAGTTTCACTAGCTTTTTCCTTGATGTTGCTAGTTTTGCGATACTATGTGTGTGTGTGTGTGTGTGTGTGTGTAAGTTCACTTACTCTTATACCATATATCTAATCATAAGAGCTGGTGATGAAGTATTACTGTATGATGTGTTTCTCAGTAGAAGTGTTCTCATCTGAGCCTCTCATCAACTCTCTTTCCCATTTCACAACCAAGGAAAGACAGGTTACGTCGTTCCTCAGCTTGTGTGCAAGGCAGGGTCCCCACCCCGGCCGCCTGACTGAATGCAGCCACACGTGTTGTCTCAGGCCTAGATCGGTGCATTACTGGACGCTGCAGATGGACAACACAAGGTCTAACCACATGTGTGACGTCTATAGGTTTCAGCTTTTTAGCAGCAATATAGTTCAGCTACTTTGCACTTTAAAAAGCTTTTCCAAGCCATTTTAATGAATTGATAATATTTTAACACCTGAATGGACTGTTACTTAGTTCTTCTTCACATTCTGCTTTTGAAGACTATATGCACTATTACAACAAACACCTGCGTACATACATTTCTGTCTTAGCTCCAGGAAAAGGGAAACCGTTCTGAAGAGTGAGCAGCTGGTGAGACCGGGCACATAGGATCAGTGACCTGTCTCGGGACTACTTCTTCCTTCCACTGCTTGAACCACAGCTAAACTGTCACTGGCACTCACTTACTGGGCAAAGTGGGGGACAAAGCAGACATGAGCAGGCTGTGTGGTGTGCAAGGCACCAAGAATTAGATGCAACTATGAATAAAGCTGTATGCGGTTTCAGGTACAGCAGGAATTTTCAGGTTACTACTAGACAGGCATGGGATGGCCGAGGCCACTGTCTGCTTCTTAGCATTTGTAATTCTAGAAAGACTCTCCTGGCTGCAAGCTCTGCTTTGACCAGAAGGTCTAAAGGGCAGCTCAGGAGTTTCCATTCCTTCCAAGGTCTCTACATGGAAAGGAGAACTTTCCACTCATGGGAAAGTTCTAATCTCACTGGTAACTTGGTTTCCTTGTGAAGCCGGAATCACTCAGTCCCAGTGAAGGCCACGCCTACATTTGCATTTCTTCTCCCTCTTTGCTTTCATAAAACTCTTCAGCACCACGCAGAGTTTGTGTACTTGGGATCTGACTCCCAATGGCCAGGTAAGGCTGCCAGAGTAAGGGGAGCTTGAGGAAAGGGATCAAACAGGAGAGAGGAGAGCACCAGGGATTATGGCGATGGTTCATAAGTGAACCAGTGATGGGAATTTTACGGGGACTACAAAATCATGTAAGTAAGAAAAACATCATTAAAAAAAGGGGGCGCTTGAAGTTCACCTGGCTTATTACACGTTTAGTGCTCCTCAGCCTCAGGCCAACTGGATTGCTAGTGATGAACTGAGAGTTCTAATTTTCTGGTAGGAAATTAAGCAAGTTCAGGAAGTTTAAAACCTTACACTGAAATAATTATTTCCAAATACCCTACAGCCTATGGGAAATAAAAATTCACTGGAGAACTAGTAAAATGTCTACCACAAACTATTTCATAAAGAGATACTGAATTTTTCTTAATATGCTTCTCTTCCGTAAAGGGAAAAATGGTGTTTATGTTCAGAATCATGGTGCAAAGAAATTTTTCCCAATTCTTTACACACTAAGCTGGAGAAGGAAATATATTCTTTGTCAACTCAATTATATCATTGTAGTCAGGCATTGAGGGCTTTTATGATAGATGAGAATCTGCTTAATGGGTCGGAATTCCTTCAAAGACAAGCTCCCACCTGCAAGATGGTTACACTGTCATGACTGAGCTTATTTTTAAGAAATTATTTGAGAAAGAGAAATGACAGAGCCAGCCCCCAGCTGACTTACAAATCTTCTGCAACTCTCCCTTGAACTCAGGCTAACCTCCTAACTCCTTCCAAGGTCATGGAGTTTATTTTTTTTGAATTATGTGAACTTTCTCAGGCTAAAGAGTCACAGACCCTCAAACAGCAGTGCTGTTTTCCCTGGGGGTCTTTCTGACTGTTCCTTCTGCTTGCACAGCTTCAATGCCCTCTTTCCCCTCCTATCATCAATACTCATTTGGAGAGATTCCTACAATTCTGGATTTGGAGTTGCCAACACACTTTTACAGCTAAAGTCTCAAGTTAGATGCGTTCGTGTACATAAGATAATTATGAATATCACCTCCAGTCACCTGAAGGATATATATGCAAGACTCCTGCTAGGAAGTATTTTCTAGATGGATTTTTTATTCTCTAAAGAAATGTCTTCTAGATCATTCCCTAGATGTGAGCACACACCTACTAAAGCTACCGCAAAGTCCATTTTTACCTTGATGCAGAGAGGCAGTGGAAGAGAGAGACATATTTATTTTATTACTAAGATTTTTTCCTATTACTAATTACTTTTCTTTAACTTTAGATGATGCCATCAGCTACAGGCCTACCATCCTGCAACATCAAAAAGTGGAGCGGAAAAGCTTAAATGCTGTGCCTGTTGGGATCGCGCCCTGGTGTGGCCCTACTTCTATCTTGGGGAACGGTCACCTTCGCCTCCCTGAGGTATAAATCACGGTGTCAGGTGACGCTGCTTTTCCATACACAGGCTTCTCTCAGCCAGCTCACTGCTTCAGCGAAATTATCAGTTGCATGTTGAGTTTCTCCTGCACAATGATTTACATTAGTTTCTCAATCACTAACTTATCTCATTTTTTGTGGTATATCCTGGTAATATCACATGTCATTATTTTAATCCCTTTATCCCGTCTGGAAAAGAAAATATGTCCTAGCTTGTGGACTTATCATATGTATATACCATTTAAATGACCTGTTTATAATATCACTTTAAAAGCAGGATATCCGTGACTGTGTGTGTGTTTACATATATGTGTGGCTATGGAGATATATATGTACTTCTATATGTATATAATAAAAGTGCTTATTGGGAGACGTATGGGTGCCTCTTTTCTTGCCTCCCACTGCATCACATGAGGCTGAGATGAGCTCATCCAGGGGTGTTTCTGGAAGCTGTCTCCAGCTCCGCTTGCCAAACCTAGACTTGTCTACATACAATACTCTACTAGCAACATTCCCCAAAGCCTTATTTACGTGGTCCAGTTTAAGGACAGAAGTGCGTTCTGGCTTTGCCTGGTCACCACGTACACTGCCTGCGGTGGGTGTGAAACCTGCCAGATGAGATGGGCTCACCTCACTGCCAGCGTGCAGTGGATCTCAACAGCGACCCTCATGTAATCTACTGCGTCCGGCGGGCTCCGAGGGTGGGGTAGTGCCCGTGTCGTGCAGCAGTCAAGTGTTGTATCACGTGTTCAGGACTTGCCCAGGACCGTAAGTAGATGATGGCACATGCGATTGCTCAGCCTCTGTCCAGGGGCCACTCCCAGCCCTCTGCTGTGCTGCGGCCCTGGCCCCTGCCAAGGAGACATCATACTTGGAGAAGAGCAGGACATGTATTTGTGTGTGCGCTGCGCCAGAGCCACCGTGACCACTGAATTAAGGGAATCTGCTTTTGATTCAGAAGATACTGTAATTGCGCAACTATCCTGTCATTGATCAATTTCTGGACTTCAGATCTTACCTAAGATTTTGTCTTCTCTATGGCTTTTCGACCTACACAATTCACATTTAATAATGGAATCTATAAAATGTATATAGTCTTTCAATAGATTGCATAATGTCTAAAGTTTAAAGTTGTCAGTGTTACGATCTAAGCAGGATGGAAGTATGTTTGATTAGTAACATCAATAAATTGCAGGCTATCATTCTCTCCATTATGAATCCTTTTTTGTATATAAATCCCATTCATATCACTTATGATTTTGAGATCATCTGTGATGCATGCTTTTTAAAACACAACTCAGTAAAACTATATTGACTATATTTAGTTTACATTCAGTTTAAGTGTCTTCTTACACTTTTGTCCCATCCAGAGAAGTTTTGAATTGTTAAGGAAATTAAGAATGACTTTATGATTTACAGTATTAGTCAACAATTTTTTAAAGTAATTAAACCCAATATTGGCTTAGTCAAAATGGGACCAGCTGACATTTCTTTCTTCAGTGTATGACACTAAAATATATATCAACATTTTTTCATTGGCCGATATAAATCCTCTTTCCCCTATGGCAAAGAGTGACCTACTATTCCTGATATCAACATGCAATGCAGTCCCTCTTAATCACATCAGCCTCACACGCTTAAAAAAAAAAAAAATACATCACCCCACACATAAAAAATACTTAATTCTATAAGGTTTTATTTTTTTAAGCCACCATTCCTATTCACTTTTTGGAAATGCTCATAACTACTAACAATTAAGGTGAGAATTCATTAAACATCTTGTCCTATAATATATTACCTAACTGCTATTTTCTTTGAGTCATACTTTGGTATTTTTAGGGCCCCTTCTAAAAAAGTACATCTTGGAGTTAGTCTTTATGCTCGTGAGATTTAAAACAAAAACAAACAAAGACAAGATTGCGCTAATCGTTTCAGGTCAAAGCACATTTTCTCTATGCACCGAGGACACAGCAGCAAAGATGGAGGATCCACACACCTTTGTTATTTATAAGACGTGTCACTTGGAGGCGCTTCCCTTCATTCCCACTTTCTGTAGGAAGGATATCATGTCTGTGGCATCACATTATTTTTATAGTGAAATGCACAAAAATATTCAACATTTACATAATCGCTAGGGCATTGTTGGAACCCAGTACATTTTAATTTGCTACTGATTATTCTGAGGACAGGACCACTGTTCTATTTCAGCCAGGAACCGCTAAAATATTTGAAGCCTTTCATGACAGATAGTGGTGCTCAAGGTTTTCATTTTCAAAATAAGCTTATAGAAATATATTTCAAAGTATGCATGGCCTCTCACTGAATTTAATCCTATATTTATAATACAGTATTTCTATTTTTATAGTCCACTACCTATAATTATTTGGCCAAACCATTGACTCATGTGTGGGTTTAATTTTTTATTCTGCAGATACATGACATATAGCCAGGAGCTCTGCAAGGCCTCAATAGCTACAAAAGAAATCAACAGAAGTGATCTAAGACAGCAAAGAGGTAGAATCGAATGTGCATGAACATTCTGTCCTAGCTACTGCATGACCCATAATAGCTGTTCGCAGCAGAAAACCTCAAAGTATCGAGTGAAATCATTTGCGTTTGCCAGGTGCATCTTGCTGAATCAGCCCTACTTGGTATGATGCCAATTTCTGCTGTTTCTCACTAAGGAAAAATATCCCTGAATAAATGTTAGTAATGTTTAAAGGGAAGTAACAGCCTTAGAATTGAAAAGCTGCGACAAAGAAATATTTTGCAACAAAAAATAAATAAGAAAAAATAAATGGGAACTTGAAATAATTCTACTTTGAAATTATGGGCTCATTTTTAATCCCAAGAGCTTACTAGGAATTACTAGTAGCCAACAATACAAAAATAAAACATGTTCTTTGCAGCAAAGTGTTCAGGATAAATGGTGACATTTCCATGGGGAAGCACATAATGAAAGAGCTATTTGGAAGCTCCTTTGAGGACGATGAGGCAGTTGCTCATTAGGCAAGGTCAGTGAAGACATGGAGACAGGAAATATGCCCACTGGCACTGAATCATGGGAAGGACAGACAGAAGTCAGTTTAGGCACATTGACCATTTGGTGAGTTTCCTCATTTACAAAACTGGGGGGTTAACAGCTGTCTACGTCACTACTAAAAGCCAATGTTGTGAAACTCACTTGAATTTTAGATGCGCTATCAGAAAAACATTTCTCTTGCGCTAAATAATAACTAAGTAAACAGAGTGAGTGGATTGCAGTATTAGCAGGAAGAGTGATGCCTTGTGTTCTCTGTATTTCCTAGATAAACTATTTGAGAAGTAAAGATTTTGGATAAATCTGACCTGGGCTTAAGTCCTGAGCCATGACTTGAGTGGTTTCAAGAAATGACCTGAATAGCTATTTCCCACACTGTACAATGAACAGCCCTACATCAGTTCTGTCCCTGCATTGACTGGGTGTGTGCCCAACTCACAGCTGTGTAACAGAAAACCAGGAAGGTTGATCCAAGGCTCGAGGACACGTTGTCTGGAGCCATTAATTCAAAATGACTAGTGTTGTTCTGTATTCTAGACATTGAAGCATTCAAGAGTTTCTCTGCTCGAAGAGGAGGCTTGCACGTGTGAGTTCTAATCACTGCTCAGCCCTGTCACAAGCGGCGTTTGAAGTGAGAGGTTGCTGCGTGTCAGATCCACAGAATGAGTGCTGCAGGAATTCAGGGGCAGAGTGACCTAATGGCGGTCTCTGGAGGGCTTGTGGAGGCAGCGAGCGGCACAATGCAGTTACTTGTTTGGGACAAATAAGGAGATGGGACCGGTGGCAGCGTGCGAGACAAACACGAAGCATGGCCAGGGGACACGAGGCTGTCAACGCGGCGTGTGGGTGCTGGCAGGTCAGGGAGCTGGACGGGTAGGAAATTCAAGGCAGATGGTGGAAGGCACAGGTTACTCTGCTGCTAAGTCTGGACTTGGCAAACCTCCCGTGGCTTATGGAAAGGAAAGAGATGCTTCCTCCCCAAAACAGGGCGGGCTAGCGCGGTTCTTCCAGCTCTGATCAGCCCTCATCATCAAATGTGCATGATCATCACTGACTGCGAGCGCCTGTGTGTCTGGGTCTCTCGTGTGGGGATGCTGAGGTGCCTCGCGACACACCAGAAGCTGCTTTCTGGTTTATTCAAACCTGAAGCTGTTCAAGTGTAAAAAATGTTGCCCCTGTTACCTCCTTTAGGAAGAAAATAAAAACACTACCAATCTGCAAGTAGATCACAAAAGGAAAACAAGTGACTTTGAAATAAAAGATCTCAAACGAACACGGAGAAAGCTGTCTCGTCCTTGTGACTCAAAAGGCTCTATGATGGAATTTCAAGTATAGCTTATTTATTAAGTAATTTCTTCACCTTTGTTAACCTCACCAAAGATCAGGGTTGTCAGATTTGTTTCTCATGATATGGTGCCTGGAGCATCTGAGTAGTCTCCAGGTACTTTTTTTAATTAACGGAGACAAGGAATGGAGAGGAAATACTACTGCTGGGTTTGTCTCTAAGGGATGGCCCAGAGTCCACTTACCAAATCGGTGATGAGCTAGAAGGAAAGATCGAGATGTAGGAGAACAAAGCCATAGCATCTTAGTCATCCAAGCAGTGCTCCCAAGCAAGCGTGGTGATTGCTCATAGAAAGACACAACCCTTCCTCTGCCCCGGGAAAGTCACAAGGCGAAGAGAAGCCACCATCTCCGTCTTTGCCCGACGGTGCAGAGAGCGAGTGTCAAGTCTGCCCGTCAGCTGGTCAGACCCAGCTCCCTCTGTCGTAGAAAGGAGAGCAGGGGGAGAATCTGGATGGGTAGGGCTCCCACGAGCATGCCCCTAATGTTAGATGTGTCCATAAACGAGGACGCTGATACTGAAGAAGAGTTAACAACTGGCCGAATTCAGCAGTGTAGGAAGTCGCCCATCACAGTGGAAGGCCTCGGGATTATTTTTTAAAAATGTCGCCCTGTAGAGTTACAAGAGCGAGCTTCATCCCAACAATCATGGTGTCATTGCAATGAAACCGCCCCACTGATCTGCCTCCAGGCACAAATGGTATCTTTGAGCACAAAATATTCTGGATTCAAGACTTCAAGACTTAGTACTGAATTAGTAAAGTACGTAATGTAATGTACTAAAGTAATGAGCAATATTTTCACTGGTCAATGTTCTAATGAACATGGATTTTCCTAGAAATGCTTAGAAACACACACACACAAACCACAGTTGACAGGTGCCCTCTGCACAGCTGGACAGACTGACCAGGAGGACGAACAGAGCTCTCCACATTTGGCGCTCGGGTTTGTCCAGTTACCTCATGCTTCTCGGCAGCAGAGCGCACAAACATAACGATTAAGTTCTTTCATTTTAAACAATGCTGAAATAGAAATTGGGTGTTCTAAAACTGATATGTACTGATTTATGAAAGTGTCACCTTTTTGTTCAAGAGTCCAGGAATAATTTTCCCACTTGCTTCAAACGTGGTGTCCTAACTGATAGCCTTTTTGAAGTTAAATAGGCATCAAATAGAGACTCAAAGAGTCTGTTATCACCAGGCAATTACATTTGGTTAATAACCTGGCTGTATTTTCTGTTCACATAGGACAGTTTCGTAAAAGCTCTAGCATTAATGGATTTTATTCGAAGTGACAAAGGAAATATTAATATTGCAATACTGTTTCCTTTATCTTCTCTCATCTAAATGGGGAATGCATCCGAATCATGGTGTTAACTCACCCAGAGAACAGGAAGTTAAAATACTATTATTTTTGCACAATGACCTTTGCTGCTGCAGTATTTGCCAGGCTTAGAACCATAATCTAGCTACAGACGTGTTGTTTAAAGTACATGGAGCTCAAAATAGATGTTAGGTTCCTTGAGCCCACACTATCTCTCCCTCTAGACCTTATTTTTTATTTTCCAGTATTTGAATAAGAATGTGGCCACTGCTTTTCCCACTGTGTCGTGATTTCCCAAGCATGTAGTGTGTATTCTCCCGACTGGAGGGGAGGATAACAAAACCAGAATGGATAGAGCTCACAATAAGGCAGAAAGAGATATATGACAGCAGAGTTTTTCTTAACTGCATTCTTTAAAAACCTTTTCGATCATCAGTTTTTAATAGTTAAGCCTAGAGGTCAGAATGACCTGAAGGCACAAAGAAAATGAGG